AAAAAAAAAAAAAAAAAAAAGTAAAAAACTAAAAAGAAGGGAGTGTCCTTTAAACATCCATTAAGGAAATCACCACTGACTGTCACAGCCAGCCTCCCAAAGCTCGGAACACCATGGCAGAGGGAGATTAAACATACACAATGCAAGCACCTTGGTTCATAAGCATTCAGTGTGTCATTATCCCCCAACAGAATTGTTTTGATTGAAAGTGTTTATCATTTATAGGTTTTAAGATCTAGTATTTCTCATTTCAGAGAGTAACACATAAAACCTCAGTGGATTTAGCTACTTTAATGAAACTTAATCCCTTATGTTAAAATTTAAGAAAAAACTCTCTGGAAAAAAAATTCTTGTTAGGAACACAGATGAATAGAGACCCGGCATATTGTAATACTAATGATCATGACTTGTGTTATTATACACAAGGCAATCAGTCAAAAGTCAATTCTTTAAGAATAATGCTTACTATTTTGGGTAAAATTTGAGTTTTTTATTAGGGCAAAATGATGGCTGATATTTCATAAATCTTAAATACAAATAAAAATGCTTAATCATATTTGTTAATTTGAAAACCTAAACTATAATACTTAAAGGTATATTTGAGATGAAACAGAATTCTTTAATCATCAAGAATTTTATGTAGTAAATTTGTTTATTCAGTAAGACAATAATAAAAAAAGAATATTACATTCACAGAAGTGGAGTAAAGAATATAAAATATTATTCTAAAATAGGAAAACAATAGGACCATAATTAAGAACCTGATGGAAAGCTTTTAATTACAATGTTACTCTTTTATTATTAATAGGGCTAATATATTGTTTTGTCAGTGAAAAACAGTGATGGTACCTGAGTATTATACACATTTACCACGTGTGGCAGACTCTATTACAAAGTAATTAATAATTAATTACTTATGCAAGTTTCCTGCTCATTTAACACTTAAAAAATGCTTTAAGACATATAAAAAAGCAAATAATTACATATAATTAAGGGTGAAATTTTCCGGTACTCCATTATTCAAGTACATATTTACCTATGAAATTAAGAACACTAAGTGCTTAATGTGTAAAACGAGTTTAAAGTCATGGCTCTTGAATGAATATGATCTCCAATACTGCCATGAGCCTTCTCAGTTTCAAAAAAATGTACTTCAGAAAACTAGCTTAAGGGTGAATCACTAATACATTCTGAAATGCAGTCAAAACAAAGAGCTTGATTTTAAGGACTGAATTCAGAATGAGAACCCACTATTTTTATAATTATATTAATAAACTGTTTCTTTGTTCAGATTCTCAAACATAAATGATATTAACAATATGCTCACATGAGCCCTAATAAAAATGACACTTCAGGGAAATCATTGCTTAACCTAGAGAAAAAAAATGTTACTCTTGGATTCTTGCCTAGGGCATAAATTGTGGTCATGTATTAATAAAGTAGGTTTTTTGATTCTCTAGCTTTTAGAGATATTTTGGAACCTTTTATGTTTCCCATGTAGATATTTTAGACAAGCTCTAGAATTTGAGAGGACAATTAACAAAATAAAACTCCCTCTTGAATGGTAAAATATATTAATTCTACTATTGTATAAATAGAACAGATCTGATTCACTTGTCAGACAAGTGCTAGCTTCTGAACCATCCAATTCAAATTAAATTTAACTCTGTGGCAAATAATTCATTTTCTCATTAGGTAATCAATGTTACCTTCAATAAGGCAATTCCTACTTAGCCTCTGGTCATAGCAGTCATCTTCAAAACAAAGTTCTAAACCTGTAGCTCATGTAAAAGGAAATGATTTCCTTAGCAGGTGGCTTAAGGAAATCTGCAGTAGAGATGCAGAGAATATAAAGAGAATATGAGTCCTTGAGAAGTCTCATCTAATTAATGGTGCTCTTTCTTCCCACATGGAACTGATCCAAGAAACCCAAAGGTAAATGCAAACATTAATCTATGAAGTTAACAATAAAAAATTCTGCAGTATCTCCCAGACTCTTCATGGTATTACTGGGTTTTTTTTTGTTTGTTTTTTTTTTTGGTCTTTTTGAGACAGGGTCTCCCTATGCAGTTCAGGCTGGCCTTGAGCTTACTTTGTAGCTCAGGCTGGTCTCGAACTCGCAACAATCTCTTGCCTCAGCCTCTCAAGTGCTGGGATTACAGGCATGCACCATCACGCCCTGCTAGTATTACTGTTTTTTAAAGGAAATGGACTAAAAATATTTATATTGTATTAAAAATCTTTAGAAGGTTGACAATGCTGACCAGTAAACAGACCAATGTATTCATTTGGTTATGTAAATTATACTAGAAAATCCATAAAAATACAGAATATTTATCACTAAACTGGTGAACAACCAGCAAAATACAATGTAACGCAAAAGAAAAGGAATGTTACTTGGTATATGCCAGTTAATAAAAGCAGTTTTAGGAAGAAAATCTATCAATGTTATAAAAAAGCTTCCTCCTTTAAGCACCTTTACCCCACAAGCACATTTAAAATATAATTGATAAATGCACATTTAATTTTAAGCAAAAGCCACCGCATTCTCTTCACTGGGAGTACTGTACTCAGTCATCTTTTTTGTCTGAGGTATTTTCTTCATGGTTTTCAGGGCTGACTTTATTACTTGCAATAGAAGGAGTTGTCTGTACTTCCTTTGGCATGGAAAACACATGGCAGGTCTGGAGGTCTAAATACGTTGTAAATATTTTAGCATACTCTGGGTGCCTCAGGGCAAAATTTTTGAATTCCTCTAGAAAATGAGAAAAGAAAATCCAATAAATTGGGGTGAGTCTCTTTTGACACAGTACAGAGTAACAAATACCCTTAATCGTATCATACAATTATTACAAAGTTCTGTTACCCAGCTCACCAACACTGCCGGTGAGAATATAAATTGTACAACCATTCTGGAGTTTTCCCACTCACTAGTGAAGTCAAAGATAGGCATACTGCATGACCCATACATTCCATGCTGAGGTACACAGGCTAGAAGAATTGTGTGTATTGTATACAGGGGATGTGAATGAGAATGTTCATAGCAATATTATTGATATTAGGTTAAAACTAAAATAGAATATTTAAAGAGGTATATTTCTTGGCTAGGGATGTAGCTCAGTGGCACAGTACTTGTCTCGCATGTGTGAGGACCTAGGTTCAATTCCAAATACTGAAAAGATGTATACTTCTATGATGAAATGTAAAGCAAGGCAAAGTTTCCTTTTAAAGTCAGGTACAGTTCCCTCTTGGAAGAGTAAGGAACAGGTTGTGATTAGAAAGGGACACCCAGGGAATTCTGGGGCTTTGGGAAAGCTCTATTTCCTGAATAGAAACAGCAGTCACATGGGTGCTCATTTTATAAGACTTTGCTCTTCTCCATATTTATGTTTTATCCTATTTTCTGTATTTATGTTATTTTGAGCACTAAAAATGTTTTCAAAACTTCTGCTACAAAGGACTTTCTATTACTACTATTAATAGTCTCAAAACTATTAACTCTAGCATAGAAAGATGCAACCTTAAAAAGTTGAGCCTGGGCTTATATTCAAAACAGTAGTGGCTGATAAAATATATATAACAATCATACCACTAGATTTTCAGTAGTGATTGTTTTTTATCTCAAGTATTTAAGACTTCAGCACTGACAGGAGTATGAAGGCTAAGTTAACTATGAGGTCTCAGATCTCAAACCTCCAATAAGCAAGAGTTTCTAAAGTATACTGTTTTCAAATTTTTATATTTCTCTGTTCTCTCCTACATGAATCTATATCAGTGATGGAGAGGAGGACTTACGTGACTCTAAGATAAGGGAGTATGAGAGCTGATTTACTGAAACCAAAATTTTTAATTTCAAAACTTGTGCTCTGTCCAAAAGACCAAGATCATCTGGTGGGATGTCAATGGCATTAAACACTAACTCATTTCTAAAAGTGCCCCAAGTTGGCTATCGCAGACTTTGGCCATTACTTTGACTAATGGAAAACCAAGAGCAAAAACAGTTTCAAGGATCACATTCATGACATGTCAATAACTGCTTTTAAGTAAAATTATAGTTATATACCTCAAACACCCCTAAAAAGTTGGACTTACACAGTATTTGGGAAGGGGATATTTGCTTGTGTATTCTAAAAAGAAACATGCTGCACTCCAAAGAAACAGACTTCCCTAAAAGTACTTAAACTGACAGGTTAAAATCATGACTACCTATAAATCATTTTTAGTACCTTCCCCTGAAATAGTTATTCCAAATAGTTTTGAAAATTTAGTACTTCAAGGTAACAAACAGTATTACTCATAAAAGGAAAATGGTCAGAGAAGAATTAGTATACATGGATTTATGAACTTTTATCTAAGTATGCATACTTTGCAATTTTACCTTTTTTATTTAGTTTACTTTAATTTTTTTTTTTTAATGAACTCATAGAGTAAGGATCCTAAGCACTTAATTACCCAAAGAAGAATATGGGGCTGCCTAAATGACAGTAATTAAAGACAGAGTAAAAGAAGTATGTGATCTACTCTCTCCATGCAGTTAAGGCTAACAAGCTGAAACTCTTTGAACGCCATTAGAGAAAAGTAATTAAGGAATGAAGGAGCCTCTCCAGCCTGAGAGGAAAGATTGGGGAAGATAAGCCAGGCTGACTTCTGTGATCACATCAAAGTCAAGGCAGGAAACAATCACCGAGGTCTCTCCACTGTGTGCTTCTGCGTGACTACACTGTGAAGAACAAGAAAACTGATTTACCCTCAGATGGCTCAATTTGGGGCTGAGCCATCAGGAGAGAAGACAGTGGTAGAGGGACCTGCCATGTAGCATGGATCTTGTGAAGGCTTTCATCAACTGCTACAGTAAACATCCATAAACGGTTCAGCTACTATTAATGTTGGCACGTAGGTCCACACTCCTCTGCTGTATTCTGAACCCAGTTTGATGAACTTGCTGAGTGTCACCTGGCTACTGGAAGCAACTATGAGTGGTACCTAGGTATGGAGTCAATGATGCATGCTGTAAAGCCAAGCTGTCCTGGATTTTGAAGCCTGGTTCTTATATTTCTAGCTAGACAACCTAAGAAAAATTACTTAATTCTGTACTCAGTCAAAGAAAAGTAAGAATACTGATTAAATAAATAGGTTTTCTGTAAATATTGAATGAATTAATGTATACAAAATGTTTAAGAGTGCCTAAGCCTGAGCGTGTAAGTGCTCAATAAATAGCTATTACTATTACTAACACACCATACAATCCTTAGCATAATCATCATCATCATTGTTACCATTATTCCTACTATTAATATAATTAGTCAAGGGAAACATTCATGTATGAGCCTCAATTCACATTCTGGATGCTCTGAGGCCAGAGTGTCACTCACCATAGGAAATAGAGTCTCCTTGGGCGATTTCCTTGAAGAGACCAGAAACATCAAGGTCAGGCACTCCAAGAGAAGCCTGCAGAATGGTGGAAAACTCTTCCTCTGTTATGCAGCCATCCTTGTCCACATCAAAGAGCTAAAGAAGAAGCAAAGAGTTCCCTCAGAAGACCAGTATTATGGAATGATCTTGGAAATAAACTCATTAATGGTTCAAATATTTATTGCACCATGGGCTAAGATATGTGTATGATGAAAGTATGGTCTCTGTGGCTCTTACAACATTAATAGTTTACTGGTAGAAAAAGAATTAAACTAGCATGTATCACAGTACTAAATTCAAAAGGAAATGGAACCTCTATGGGAAACACGATGACTCCTAAAGAAAGAGGTCCAAAAGGCTTACCAGAGTGACTGATATCATATTGGGTTCCTGCAACATGAAGAGATATTACCAGAAAAGACAAGAAATGTCAGGTGACAGCCTGGGGAGGAGAAGTCTCCGGCCAAGTCAGGAGACTGAGGTTAAGAGTTAGGTGATGGTACATACATAGTGCTTCACTTAATCTTGTAGGACGATGATAGGAAAGAATGTGGTATGATTATATGTGAACTGAAGGAAGTCTTTAAAGCAGAAAATGGAAGATGGGCTAGGGGCAGGAGGCTGATAAAACCACAGGCAAGAGAAATAATTCTGGGGTAAACAAGCAGGAAGAAAAGGAAGGAAAGAATTTGTAAGCAGCAAAGTTAAGATTTGCAGCAGAGGACTGCAGTGATGGAAAGAAAGAAGCCAAAGATGGCTGAGCTTTCTAGCCTGGGTAACTGGGTGAAAGCTCGTTACATTAAGCCGGAGAGGGACACAGAAAAACAGGTGCCAAAGGAGATGAAGAGTTGGAGCTGAATAGCTTAAATGAGTCAGAGGTGGTCAGAAGTAAGCGAGTCAGATAGCAGTTCAGAGACTGAGGAGGCTGGAGCTATGAACCCTGGTAAGAACTGGACTGATGGGTATGTTCAAGCTGATCTGTGGAGAATATACAAAGTAATGCAAAGTAAGAACAGCAGTGGTAGAGATGTGAAAGGAAGAACAGACAGAGCAGCATTTGGGAGAACCAGGAAAGAAGAGTACGCATTTTAGATAAGTTAAGGGCGGTTTTCATGTCAAGAGAAAGAGACTGTGATTAGCAGTGATGGCTAACAAAGCAAAATGCCACAGAAAGGCCAAGCAAGAAGCGAAAAGGTTTGCTGGATTTGGCACTTAGGAAACTGTGATGACTTTAATAAAATCAGGAAACTGGAAGCCAGATAATAATAATGGAAATCAAGGCAGGGACAGAAGTGAAAAGTAAAGGGAACTGGCATGGACACTTCTTTTTAAAAAATTATGGAATGAAAGCCAGGAGATAACAACACAGCAGCCAAACACCAAAGGAAGTTGTCTTTAGGAAGGGCTACATTGAATAGGAGGGAAGAGGCAGTAGAGTGGGATAAGTTGAAAAATTAATCAGGAGAGCTGGTATAACTGGGAGATAATTAACATCCCATAATCAAAATCCTGTGGGTGTTAAGAATTTTTAATGGTGTAAGCAATTATGCTTGGCACTGATCAAAAGCATTCACTTCACTTACCATGTATTAACTCTTAACCTTTCCAATAGTCTTATGTCAGGTAGACCATTTGTACCCTCCCTTGAGTTTGAATTATGAACCGAATTGAGTTTGATTACTTTCACTACAGTGCTCAAGGGAGGGTATAGGGCAGTTCTTATAATAGGGAACTCTTGAGCTGTCTAATTCTGAGTTTTCTCCTAAGCCTACACCCAGCCAAATCCACTCTGGTGTCAGCTGGTCAGAGTCTACTCTATCACTTGCAACTGAAAAGCTCTAACAGTCTCACTCTAAAGGTCACTTTAAAGGCAAAATAAAAGCTAAGAAGTAACCCACAAAATACTACCCAAAGAAATGGATGAAGAAGAGTCCTAAATATAAAAGGGTGCTATTCAGTGAAAAATAAGGTATGTAAAACTATTTCTAAAACATAAAACACACCTGAAAATGAAGGTTAAAAAATGAGCAATGCAAAGATGACCCTTGCCTTATTGAAAAAAAAAAAAAAAAAACAACTAATTATAGTTGTAAGCCTTCCTTTCTTCTTTCCTTCATTCCAAACCAAGGTCTAGGCTAGACAAAATTCTCACGACTTCTTTAAAAACAATAATTACTGTGATTAAGGGCCAAGTTTTCTATCAGGTCTTTCATCGGTAAACCAAAAGTGACTCTTTGCCCAGCTAAACTTGTAATTACACATACAGTTTCAAAACAGAAACAGAAATATCTGCATTGGAATAAGTTAGCAATGTGTATAATTTTAGGTTTTATGATGAATAAGACTATAAAAGCTAAAGGTCTTACTTTCTGGAAAATGTTCTGGCCCTTGCCTTATGACCATCTGCTAGGCATCAACCACTTAGGTTTTTTTAGAGGCTTAGCAGTGAATTCAGTTTGAACCAATACAAAATAAAAAGTCAACTCAAGACTTTGTATTAATGACAGAACACATGAAAATTCCTGAGGCTATTCCTGGTGGCCTGTAAGACAGGAGAAAGAATTCTTGGCAGGGGAGTCTTTCTAGATAATAGAGGGGAAATAAACTTGTAGTCACAGTGGGATATTCTTCTCAGGGAAGTCAGAAAGAGGTAAGAGTAGGAAATAGGGATAGCAAAGGTCCTCAGCTTTCTTTGTTTGGATGTGGGCAGAAACCAGCGCCCTGCACAAGGGCCAATGTACACAGAGTAGTAGGACAAGTGAGGATACCAGGATTCTGTTATACTTGAGAGATAACATTCTTAAAAGTCAAAGGAAGACTGTATTTAAATACTAATAGATAAAGCACCTTTATTGTCTGAATGAAATACACTATATTTTTTCCTCTCCTCTGTAAGTGACAAATAAAACCTGGGGCATCATAATTCAAACTTTTATCAAACTCTGTGATACTAAAGGAAGACCTACAGGATAGAAACTTGGGACATTCACGGGGGTATTTACCTGACACCCTCACAACAAAATAAACTCCAGTAGCCAAATGATCTCTGACATACCAGACTAAGAAAAGAAGGACAGATCAGAACTTTTCACATCGTGAATTAGGAGGAGTACTGCCAAGTGGTGTTTATTTATAAAACTTACTTGGGGCTTCAAAATGAGGAGACTGAAAAGAAATAATTTTTAAATTAATTTGTTAAATCACCTGCTCCTCAATTTTGATGTCGTTCCCTAGACTGCTTTCCTTTCTGCTTAAATGAATGCTTGTGTTTTCTTTATTCTCAGTAGTAATTGACTTAATAACATTATTCTCCTGTACGTGTCACAGCAGACCCTCCAATTTTCAAATGATACACTTAGAGTCAACACTTGTTTACAGGGCAGACCGAGATGTTGTCAGTGGAGCTGACAGTACCTTAAATGCCACCTGGATGATCTCCTCTGTGTTGGCAGGGTTGCACAAGACAGCCAGGCCAATCACATACTCTCGGAAGTCGATACTGCCATCATTATTCTGTGAAAGGATGGGAGAAACCAATTAGGAAGCCCACTAGTGAACCACACTGCAAGCTGATATTCCTGTATGCCCTGCAGCTCGATATCATAAGGCAATGAATCCATCTGGACAAAAATTCTCACTGAGATGGAACAGCAAGCAAATGACTCCTCCTCTGCATTCTCAATTCAAAAGGAAGAAAAGAATATGCTCTGTCTAGCAATAAATATAAACAGCTTGTAACTGAGGCCATTTAAAGTGGTCCTTAGGCTCCCAGTGGCAGTTCTTGAGCTCAGCCTTGCCTTGACCGGGCCTTCCAGGGAAGTCTAGGTAGATTTTCATCCTCAGTAGGACCAAAGCATTTATTCCACCACTTTCCTATGTCTATGAAAACCAATCTAAAAGAGAGCTGTGGGGTTATTTTTCTTTCTTTCTTTAATCAATTTTATTGATGTATCATTTACATTCAATAAAATGTAATATCTTTTTTAAAAGTATAGTCTGACTGACAAATGGACACATATACAAAACTGCTACCAAAATCAGTATCTACACTGCATCACCACTGAGGTTTCAGACCAGGATAAGTTTTAAGGATAATAATTTTTCCATCTTCTGCCACCACCAGTTAGCTGTTTTGGTTTTGTTTTGTTTTGTTTTGTTTTGTCTTGTTTTGGTACTGGGGATTGAACGCAGGGCCTTGTGCATGCTAAGCAGATACTCTACCACTGAGCTACACCCCAGTCCACCAGTTAGCTTCTTAATGTACTGTGGAGGGCTGATTTTAGTGAGCCTTAGAGGTTGAAGAGCTTTTGGAATCAGACACTGTATACTGTTCAACATAAATAAATTTCTTTTGCAGTTGGTTTTCACCACTAAGCAATATGGAAGTTTTGACTAGAAGTACTAAAGAGTAGATTTAAAATATGTTGTATGCACACTAAAGTTACAATCATAGATTATCTGTATGATTGGAAATACTCCTTTGAATCTTTGTTGTCAGACATCCAACACTACCAAACCCTACGTATAACACAAGTCAAGCATCAGAACTCATGTTTCAGAAAGAGAAATGTAAGTGTAGTGTATCCTTAGTATTACCAGCAGAATAAGGTAGACTTCTTATTTTCATTAACTGTCTTACATATGAATGGTTTTGACTGATGAAGTTAAGTTAAAGCAGACCCCTGATTCAATCACGTTAGAAGTATATGGAAGTTTTTGATCTAGCGAGATGAAAAGAAAAAAGTAGCATGGGATTATTCTGAAGGATTACCTTTTAGGTTAATAAAAAATACTTATTAAAGTTCCAAATTAAGAATAATACAATTTGGAACTGGAAGGAATCTTAGAAATAAGCCATTCAATTTCATCATTTTTACTGATAAAAAAACTAAGTTTCACTTATGGTTACAAAACTTACTATTACCATAACTGCAATTAAAATTTAGGCAGTCTGACTACCAATCATTTAAATTAAAGCAAATAGTTTGACAAAATATATTGAAAAACAGAAAAAAGATTATAAAGCAATGTATACTCCTTTAATTTTTATATTTTAATCAGCTTCATGCTAAAAATACTATTCCACAAGTCTGTAGTTCTTTCCTTTAAAAATTAATTGAATTCCCCAGAAGAATTATGAACTTAATTTAAAAACCCAGATTTGAAAACATTTCAGGGCCACATTCAAAGGAAGAGACTATTTATATGGAGAAAGGCCCCATTCCTTCCACAAACTGTGGAAGGAACAATCTGGAACGCCTGGAATTACACGGGGTCACTGCAAAAAGAAATGGGACTAAGCCTCACTAAATCTTTGGACTTTGGGTCTCATCTCTTCCCTGGAAGTCAGCAGGAAGAAAGCATGAAAATGTTTGCGGGGTGCACTTGGGTTGCAATTACCAAGTACCTTCCATCTATTCATCCAGGCTATGCCGGCTTCCAGGGCCAGTGGGAAGTTCTAAGTCACTTGCTCAAACAGTGTCCATTCAAAACTACAGAAAGAATAAATGATCTGATTCTCAGGGACCAGTTCTTTCATGCTGTTTCACAGTTGGGTTTCTTCAACATTTGTATTCATAAGGAATCAGAACTTGAACTTCTTAAATCTAGCAATATTTAAAGATATGGTTTTCTGGCAGTGTAGTTATAGGAAAATGGAAACGTCACTTATGTAGTCTTTCATATAGCATGGATGCATCCATGAATGTAAATTTAAATGTTAAAATGAGAATTTACTCCCATTAAGCTTAACAGAACTGCTTTTGGTTGGTAGTTTCAATAAATTTTTAAATTTAGTTTTAGAAGAACAATGACAAGAAAGGATATAGTCTTAAATACATGTTGCCATGGTAAATTGCCAAGAACAGGGACTATTTATTCATCATTGTGCTATAACTGATGTAGTATCATCTCTGCAAATGAGCAATAATGCTAAAATGTTTACATAAAACAATTTAATTTTCAGCAACCCACGACAAGAGATGTCTTCAAACCTTTCAAGATAATTTATAAATCCAAGTGAGTATTATTACTAAGATGCAGTAAATTCTCAGTTATTTAAGAGTCAGGCAAAAAGGGATACTTTTCATATGAATATTCTGACTACAAGTATATTTCCACCCACATATATAAATATATTACCAGTTTTTTTGAATTAAGTTGTTGTCATAGGGTACTTAGCATTAAAAATAAACATTTTAAAAGAAATAGTTCTGGAAGTTCTTCACAGTCAATACAAATTAAGTATCAGTGCTCTGCAGGGGTCTCCACAAATATTTTTAGGGCACCACTCTATGTACTTGTGCAATACTGTTTACTTAGATTTTGGGGCTGCTATGTAAGGCAGCTTTTAAACATATATACACTACGCAAAACTATTTTTGGGTGATGTTTAAGATGACATATAAATTTTGAATGTTTTTGGAAGTTTACTGCTCTCAGGTATGGAGCACACAGTCTAATCCTTTTCCTTGTTTTTCTAAGTTATAGAGCTTAGTGAATTGTATTAAGTTCATTTTCAAAATCACATTTTGAAATTTAAAAATGTAGACTGTACAACTTCACCTATTTTTATTACTGTTATTTTCAATTTACTATACTGATTGTAATTTTTTGTCTTTTTGAAACAGGGTTTTGTTATGCAGTTCAGACTGGCCTTGAGCTCACTTTATAGCCCAGGCTGGTCTTGAACTTGTAAAGATCCTCCTGCCTCAGCCTCCCAAGTGCTGGGATTATAGGCATGTATCACTATGCCTGGCAGCCTATTTGTAATTTAATGTCAGAAATTTAAAAATAATAGATGGATGAATCAAAGACCTTTACCTTGGGATATAGGTAGGTGTCCTTGGGGAAATGGAGACATTTTTAAAAAGTGGGCAATTAATATTTCCTATAACACTAAAAATATGTCTTTAAAATAGCAATTATTAGATGAAAACTGAGAAATTCAACTGCTTGTTAGGCTACTGGTTCTATACAGTGCCAAAGATTTGGTTAATTGGATAAATCTAGAGTTTGGAGTAAATTTTCTGCTCTGCAAACTGGTGCCTGAGATTATTTACATAAATTTTATGCAAATTCAAAAGAGAAACTCAGGTAACTTCTGGAGTTTCTCCATGTGCTTACTGGGTGAGAATTATAAAAGTAGGTAATCCTTCAACTTGAGGAACAAAAGACTTAATGCCACCCTTAGTGTGAGATGATTATCTTAACTTTTACGAAACATTTAAAATGAAATTCAGAACAAAACCGCAACCACAAATTGTGCTCTCCCTAAGAATCACGCAAAAAAATTAAACTATAAACTTAATATTCTGAGTCTATAGAAGACATCTTGGCAGCTTTCTCCCTTCCCCGGCCGCTCTCCTATACCTATTCCTGACATATTCCTGTGTTAATTCTAAAATAGGGAGACTGATATTAATGTGAGGTTGCTGGCAGCAACCTCCCGCCTATATAACGACACCTGGTCTAAGTAGCTTGCCAGACCAAGTTAAATTACAAGTCCCTTGAGGGAAGTGAATGGGATTTCTATGCTTGGCTCCGTTCGGAATTATGTATGCATGGTGTTTCATAAACATTATATGATGGTGATGGTGATGATGGTAAATGTAGAGGCTAAATGCCAACTTCTCCCAGTTTTCACTGGGGATTTCTAACAGGCAGTTAGGGGCTCTTAACGGACCAGTTACATCATTTCCATAGTGACAACTTTCCTCTAAAAGAGTCAAAGGAAAAAAGAATTTATCTTTGCACTCAGGAAGACCCTTCAGAGCAGCCTGGCATAGAGGGAATGTCTTAAAAGAGCACCAGGAGGGGTGGAAAACAAGTAAACAGCAGGCACAGGAAGTGAGCACTTGGAAACGCAGCCTCTCTCACTGAGTCTACTTGCATGAAGATTCTAGATTCTGTTTGCTCCCCTGTAACAGCCTGTATTAAAATTATAAAATCAAACTAAGGGCTAGACACAAGAAAGGCCAGACTAGTCCAGTTTGGGAGTGGCAGTGTATGAGTACACCTGTCTTCCTTCCTTTGGTAATGGCAACACTGATTCTCCTGCTTGGCCTCAGTTTTAGCTGAGACATACTTGAAAAACATTGGGAGAGAGCCATACTTTAAAGCAGTTAAGGCGTCAACTTTGGATGCTCGTTACACTCATCAGAGAAGCTTTAAGAATATTTATTCATCTATGGGCCCCACCTTTACAGACACATATTTAACTTACTTGGAGTGGGACTCAGGTTTCGATCTTCCTAAAAGATTCTCCCCGTGATCCTCAATTGCAGCCAGAGCAAGGAACCAGTCCAGCAAGAGTCAATAATATTTGTTCTGTATACTGCTTTATATTCCCTTTAACTGATTACCATTTGTGTTTTTTGTTTTTCTGCCTGCAACTTTCAAAGGCAAGCAACAGAATTTTCCTTGCTCTAAGGTAGGGCAAGATGTGACAAGACCTGGCTATCTAACAACTGTTGAGCACGCCTTATTCTGTATGAAATATGTATAAGAGAGATCATTTTGATTCTTCAAGGCAGCCAAAGCTATTTCTGACACACGTGTATACCTTTTATTCCTCAAAGTCTTTGATTTTCTCTACAAATGTATCAAAATAAAACTAGCATAGGTTTATTTCATTAGAAAACAAAACGAAGAATTCTAGAATTTTAGATAGTTGCTCCCACATTTTAAAAAACATTACACTTACATAAAGGTGCTAAACTTCACATTTCTGAACCTGCTCCTATTCAAATAAGTATGTTTCCTAGAAAGTACTTTTCATTTCTTTACAGAATAGAAAGAACAGATGCGAAAGTATGAGAAAAACAGATTTTGAGCTTCCCTCCACACTTTGTAAAGGGAAAAATATATCTAAATGCTTCCTTGATTTATTCCAGGATTCCTTAAAAATTGAATTACTCATAAAAACCACAACAATGATAAATTTCCATCTCCTTGGAATTCATTCATTAAGCAACAACACTTTAAAATCTACCCATTGCTTCTTGTCACATATCTGCCTCTATAAATCCAAGACCTTACAAAGCTGTTATGCAAACCACTCAGAACAGTTTTCATTCAAAATGTTTTAATGAAACTATAAAAGGAAGCCAATGATCAGCGATGCGTAAGGTTATGAAAGCTCCCCGGGAAATGATGGCTGCTGGAAGGATAACAGCAACTGTGCATAGTGTGGCAAGGTTTTCACCAGTCCTGCCCCCGAGGGAGGCCTTGGTTCTCTGCTCACTTCAGGAATACATGGTCAGCTGTAGCCATTCTCTGATAGACACCTGAACCAGGCCATCTGCATCTCTATCCAGAGACTTAAAGGCACGAAACATGGCATCCAGGCGGACCAGGCAGCTGATGAAGTTGTTAAAATCCATACCTCCATCATCCTCCGCATACCGCCGGATAATCACTTGGTAAAGCTGTTCATTCAGCTGGAAGCCAGCTGCCTGCAGAGCTTCCCGCAGCTGGGAACTTTTCAGAAACCCGTATTGGTCTCTGTCATACTGCTTAAAGACACACTGCCACTTCCTGATGTTATTCCACAGATACTTAAATTCTTCAAAGCCCAGCTTCCCAGTGGTGTCACTGTCCATGACAGACACAATGCTCCGGCAGGTGTCAAGACTAAAGCCATCAGTCTTCAGTTCCTTGTGCTTAGCAAGGACTTTGTTTAGGATATTCATCAAGTCGGTGGCACCCACCTCCATGTCTGGCCCAGCCAGCTGGGCAAACTGTTGCCGAAACCGCCTAACTTCCTCACTTTCGGAAGCCTCCACGTTGGTGAAATGCTGAGGAGAGGGAGGTGGTTCTGGAGTGTATTGAGCTGCAGCAGCCTCGCTGATGAAATTCACAATTCCTCCTACTATCCCTCCAAGATGTCCTCCTCCTCTTCTTCGCTGACCACCTCCTCCTAGAAGGCCTCCTAGAGCTTCTCCAAGACCCCGATCTGCCCCTTCCAGAAAAGCCTTTGCCAGAAACATGCTTTCAGTTTAACAAGCAAGGATAAAGGCGGTGTTAATCTCGGAGAGAGTGTGCAAAGAGCTGAAATGGAGCCTAAGTGGCTTACATGTGGAAGAACTGGCTTTTCTGTACCTGCCTGGTGAGGTACCACGCCTCATGGTGATGTTTCACCTCCAAATGAAGCTGGCAGATGCCCCTGGGTCCTAGTACCTGCCACATTTTAGAGGCCTCCATAAAATTGTTTTCCACTCTTATAGATAAATATTCCTAAGATGTGGCACAACACATTAGAGTATCTTCAACAGAAAATATGAAACTACATATTTCTATATGTCATTACTTTCTTAGCACCTAAAAGATGGCATGTATTTTCCTAACAGAAGACAAAGTAACTTAATTAAAACACCAGTTTCTGTCCAAGGAATATTTATGTTAAGGGTAGAACAGAAGAATTCTTGGGCATTGGAAGGATATGCACAATGCCCTTCTTTTAGCAAAGATTCTCAAAATCAAAGGTTCCTAAGAAAAAGTTGCAAAAGGGATTTTTTTTTTTTTTTTTAAAAAAAGGTAAGGTCCTCAAGTAACACTACCACAAATTCTGATTCTGGAGGTGTCCTGTGGGGTACCATGATCAACATTTTAGGGACCTTTTTGAAGTATAAGACTTATATAGAAAAATACAGCAATTATGAATGCACAGCTCAAGGAATTTCATAAACTGTCCACATCCATGTCACAGGGTCCACATCACCAGGACCTGAGCAGCCTCTCTGTACATCTTCCAGTTACTCTCCTCTCCCAAGGGTAACGAGTATCCTCACATGTAAAACCATAGACTTTTGCATCTTAAGTGAATGAATCATACAGTATACACTTTTTTGTGCCTTTTTGATTTTAAATGAAAAATTTTCAAATTGTAATTAAAACACACAATTTATCATCTTAATCATTTTAAAGTATAAAGTTCAGTGACATTAAATATGTTGTGCCATTCTGCAACTATTACCACCTTCCACCTTCACAACTTTTTTCATCTTCTCCAAATGAAAGTGCATCCATTAAACAGTAACTTCTATTCTCCTTTCCTCCTATCCCTCGTACCATCATTCTTACTGTGCCTGATTTTGACCATTCTAGATACCTTATACAATTAGAATCATATAGTATTTCTCCTTTTATGCCTAGTTTATTTTACTTAACGTAATATCTTCAAGGTTCATCCAAATTGTACCATGTGTCAGAATTTCCTTCCCTCAAGACAGATAAATAAGATATACACTCCTCTAATGCATAAATATATACCACATTCTGTTTTTCCATTCATCCACTGGTGGACACTTGGATTATTTTCCCCTTAGGGCTATTGTGGACAGCGCTACTACAAACATCAGTATATGTACCTTTGTGTGATCCCCTGACTTCAATTCTTTGGATTACGTACCTGCATGTGGAATGATGGGATGATATGATAATTCTATTTTTACCATTTTGAGGAACTGCCATACTGTTTCTCACAGTGACTGCATCCATTTACAATCCCACAGAGGTTCCAATGAATAATTCCGCATACTCTCAAACACCTGTTATTTTTCCCTTTTAGTTCTTGCTTTTGTAAAAAATCACCATCCTATAGGGTTGAAAGGTGGTATCTGATTATGGTTTCCAATGTTGTTCTCTGACAATGAGCGATGTGGACATCATTTTATGTGCTTATTGGCAATTTGGATATCTTCTTTGGAGAAATATCTATTCCAATCCTTTAACCATCTTAAAATGGTTAACCAAGTTATTTCTTTTTTTATTGTTGAGTTGTAGAAGTTCTTCAAACCTTTGGTTTTAACCCCTCATCAGATACTGTATATTATTTTCAAGTATTTTCTTCTGTCCTGTGGGTTACCTCTACAGTATGCTGTCACTGTTCTATGATGCACAAAAGTTTTAAATTTTGATGCAATCCAATTTATTTATTTTCTGTGTTACCTGTGCTTTTAATATCACATCCAAAAAATTATTGAGAACTTGTATCATGAAGCTTTTCTCCTATGCTTTCATCTAAGAGATTTTTATAGTGTCAACTCTTAGATTTGGTTCTTTGATCCATTTTGAGTTTATCCTTTCACATAAGGGAAAGATCTAACTTAATTCTTTTGCATATGGATACCTAATTTTCCTAGCAGTATTTGGTGAGAAGACTGTTCTTTTTTCATTGAATAGTTTTCATATTCTTGTTGAAAATTACTTGATCATATATTGGTTTATATGTCTGTCTTTATGTCTTTATGGTTTGATTAGCTGTAGATTTGTAGCAAGGTTTGATCAGGAAATGTGAGACCTCCAGATCTGTTCTGTATTTTCCAGATTGTTTTGGTTTATTCACCATCTCTTGGGATTCTACATGAATTCTAGAATTGATTTTTCTATTTCTATAAAAGATAACTGTTGGGATTTTCATAAGGATTGCGTTGAATATGTAGATCATTTTGGCTTGCATTGACATTTTAAGTCTTCTAATCCATGAACATGAGACATCTTTTCACTTATTTGGGTTTTAAATTTCTTTTACCAGTGCTTTGAGGTTTTCAGTATACATGCTTTTAGCCTTCTTTATTAAATTTGTTCCTAGGCATTTCATTCTTTTTTGATGTATTCTGATAGAACTGCTTTCTTAATTTCTTTCTCACATAGTTCATTATTAGTGTATAGAAATACAGTGTTGGTTTTATATTCTGCAACTTTGTGAAATTCACTGACTAGTTCTAAATTGGTTTTGTTTATTTGGTGGAATATCTATTTTGCTTATTTGGTGGAATAGTTTTCATTTATTTTTCTTGCCTAATTGTGCTGGCAAGGACTTCTAGCACTATGTTGGATAGAAGAAGGGAAAGCAAATATTCTACCCTGATTCTTTATCTTAGAGGAGAAATGTTTAATCTTTCACCCTTACATATAACATGAGCTGTAGGTTTTCATGTATGTTTACTATGTAGAGGCACATTTTTTCTTTTACTATCTTGAGTATTCTTATGCTGAAAGAATACAAATTTTATCAAATCCTTTTTTATGTCAATTGAGAAGATGTGATTTTACCCCTTCCTGGTGGTAATATAAATGGTGTATTATATTGCATTTTCATATAATGAAGATTACTTGCATTCTAAGAATAAATCCTACTTGATAATGGTGTACAGTCCTTTAAGTATGAGGTTGGTTTCTGTTTGGTGATATTTTATTAAAGGACTTTTATATCAATATTCATATGACATTTTGCTCTGTAGTTTTCTTGTAGTGTCATTATCTGATTACATTTTCAGGAAAATACTGGCCTCATAGAAGTCATAAAGAGCTCCCTACTTTTCCATTTTTTGGGAACAGTTTGAGACAGATTGGTGTTAATTCTTTTCTCAATGCATGGTAGAGTTTACCAGTGAAGCAATCTGGTCTGGGGTTTCTGTTTGCTGAGAAGTATGTGACTAGTGACTTAATCTCCTTTTCAATTGTAGGTCTTTTCAGATTTTCTATTTCTTCATGTTTCAGTTTTGGGCAATGTATACTTCCAGGGATTTTTCTATTTTATCGAGGTTATATACAGTTATCCATAGACCTCATTTATAACCCTCACCTCTCTAAATTTAGTAGTATATCTCTTCTCATCTGATTTTTTTGTCATCCAGGATTCTTTTGAAGATCTATCAGTGAACTCAGGGGGAGGTGGCTAGCATTTAATGTCTCAGATATCACTTAGCATTTGGGGTCACAATTTCAAATCTGCTAAATAATGGTAATAACGTCCCCCTTGAGTACCTCAAAACAATTCAGTCTGATACATTACATATCAGCACTTGGCCTCGGTGCTTAGGAGAAGACAGTAAATAAACAGGACTATTGTGCTCAAGGGTCAAGTAGATCCACAGGGACTGGTTTTAACTATAAGCTAATGGTTATGTTTATATTTCTACTATTAATATTAATTCTTTCCATTTGTATATTACATGCTTTGATATTCAGGTTTCATAAAATTTCTCTAAAAGACATGAATGTATTCCAGATAAGGAAAGAACACTCAGAAAAATTCAGATACTTATTCAAGATCATTCTGCTAATATACTGTATTACGTTATCAAACTAATAGGGTTGTCGAAACGGGAGCAAGGAATTCTGCTGAGGCAAAAGAAAGCCTTGAATACTGGCTGAATCAGGGTTCTTACATAGAAAAGGGATATAAGAGGACAGTATAGTAAAAACACAAAGAAGCTAAGGGATATGAAGTATTCAAGAGATGGTGAAGAGTATGATATGGTGGGAATCTATTTCTGGGAATAATGGAAACAAAGAGATATCAACAATATGGAATGAGATTGGAAAAATCTTCAAACTGCCATGCATCACAGTCTATCAAACAAGTTACTGCAAAACTACTGACAACTCAAATGTAAGTCAAAGGGAAATCAGATGTGAAAGTGTTTTGGAAATTACACAGTGCTAGAACTGAATACTGACTATTCTAGCTATTATTCTGGGAGAGAATAGCAGCTAGGGAACATTGTTTTCTTTAACACATGGGAGCACGCCCTACCTCCTTCTATCATAACCAATGGTTTGTGTAAAACTTTACCGTGGTTGGTTTTATTTCTCATGGGCATAATGAAACGGCCTCTGAAAACTACAGCATGTTTGGAAAAAGTACCACAAAAGGACTGCTTTGCTTTTAGGGGATCACAGAGGCCATCTGGACTTAGACAAATTTAAACCCATTCATATATGCTTCTCCCGGAGGAAATTATATGGGTTTTGTTTTTGTAATATTGCCAATTAGCTTGATAGCATCCACTGTCATATACAGCATGCTGCCTTATGCCTATCTGAAGTGGTTATGCAATGAAGTTTAAATCCAATTCTTCTTATTTATTTTCTGTGAAGAAGGAGGGCATTTGGCTAATAGTTTCCCATAAGCCATCATAGAATAAAAGACTGCTATTAGATTAGCAACCCTTTCCTTCTCTGGACTATTTAACTCCCTATGGCTACTTGTTAGAATATTAATAACAACTTTAGTTTCTATCTGGGAGTGACTCTACTATGCAGATTTGGAGAAAAGGGGCAGAATAAAAGTTCCCCATTTAACCCCAATTTAGGGGGGAAAATTAT